GTCTTGAAAGAATATGCGATATCGGTCAAAAGAATAAGCGATTTACCGAAGCTCTTCCGGGACCTTGCCACCCATACGAAGATGTCCAAAAGGAGTGTCTGCATTGCGAGTACCACCCCAATTTTCATACAGAACTTCCTCATCGATGTATTCTTTCAAAATTTCTTTCCAGTCCGCTCCAAGTATGCGTATTTTCTGCTGAGTCTGTTTTGCGAGACACGGAGCTACTATGGACCAAAGCACATGAAAGAAGGACGGCGCATTGATAATAAACAGCTTGCGAATGACATCCGGAAACATCTCCTAAACAAAAGGCTTGTTCATAGCGATTCCTGCCTAAATATTCACAATATGCCGTACCTAAAGGCATCAAGTGTGATACGGGCGATAAACCTGTAACTGCGCGAGCATAGTAGTGACCACTTTCACTCCTGGCATCCATAACATATCCATACTTATTCCTTCAAGGTCAAAGATGACAGTGGTGCCTAGTTGTCGATCCAAAATTTTCTCATTTTCCCTGAAAACAACGTTAATTCAACGAAAAGGTAACAATGATTATTCTAACTAGTCAAAAATTTCGAGGAAAATAAGTATGCACAAGAACTCTGAAAAAAGACGCGAAAATATGCCTTATCAAGTTCATAACGCCTTCACTTTCGGCAATTCTCAAAACATAGAGGTCGGAATTGCGCATGCACGGCACTAATCCGCGCAAATCAAGTCGACCGATAGTCTGCAGCGAAATCACATTATGCTCCTTATCGTAACCCAATAAACCACCTAAAAGCTGATTTTTATTGCAAATCATACTTTCTAAAAATCCATACAAAAATAGTGGTATCTGAAACTAGGAGCTCAGAAGTATGCGAGGCTGGCAGAACAAAAAAAAGTGGCAAATCCATAAAGAGCAAATTCCTCGGACAACAGATAGATCCCGAAGATTATAGGCTAACACCAAAACTGAAAGGGTTCGAGTAGCAAGGTCCATTTAACGCTCATGTTGTCGCTGTCTTTGGCCATTTACTGCATGTGGTGGGAGAGTGACGTCGGCTAACGCCTCGGGCAGTAGTGCTGCACTGCAGAGGTGCATGATATCTTGGTCTCCCTAATGCATAATTATCGTGAAGAGAGGTTGCTGACGAGTCTGCACCTTCAAATTTGTCGTGTGCACACACTAGCGTTTGTGAGTGATAGGCTGACCTAATGGATCGAAACATTCCCGTCCACTTAGTTCTTTGATAATTTCATGTTTTACACGTGTCACTAATAGAATCCTCATTATATTTTTATGGTATTATGGTGTTAACGCTGCAAAGGATATGCAAGCATTCACGAAAAATTTGTTTTCTTGCCTATTTGACTAACGAGCGAGTAAGATGACGAAACTGTTGCAATTTAAACATTTGACGTTTCGGTGCGAGGGGCATATTGGTAGGCAAAAGCTCACTTTAAAGTTTACAAGTCGGCACATAGATATTTAACGTCTCATGTAATAGCAGCTCCCCGCTTAGTCCGCCTACAGAATTAAATGATTGCCAAGACTGCCCAAAACTGAAATTCACTTGCGCTTAATAAAAAAGATTTAAAGAATTGTGGCATGGCTAGCTAATAACCTAGAACAATTTCTGCTTTCTAACTCGCATGATTCTGTAAACAGCTTCGCTGCAAACATATTTGCCACGCTTGCATGTGTGATAGAGGCATATGCAAAACTAATTTTAAGTTTACGAGCAGTAAATGCTCCCTTAAAATTAGCTTTCATCAGTGGATTTAGTACAGTCATACGATAATAGCAACCTGGTATATACCGCAGTGGCTCACTGATCGAATCACAATAAGCAGAGACTTTTTCGATCGACGAGAAGTCCTGCTTATCAAGGCCGAGCGCCGACAACGCCCGAAGCAAGAATTTCATTTTGGGCACTACCACATCTAAAATAATAGATAGCAATGCGCACCAGACTAGCCGGTGCGATCATGCGTTTTGTGCAACTCAGCCTATCGAAGATTGCCTGTTAATGATTTTCACTGCTTTGTACTTTAGTCTATGCAAAAATAGTTCAAACATTGGA